CAGAACAGAACAGAACAGAACAGAACAGAACAGAACAGAATAGAATAGAATAAAGGGCCATTCCAATACCACCGAGTAAGAACCTGCTTCCAAAAGGGTATTTTAAAACAGCTTCTAAAGCAAGCCATCATTTACCCCATGTTTGATTATTCACTCTTCTGCCCCAAGGATATTGTCACTCCATTGCCCCTTCTCACCACCTCCCCTCTTTTAAAGGACACTCCCCCCCCACACACTTTTTCCTTGCTCAGCTTCCAAGCCCCCAGTCCGACCTACTTGGTGACCACGCTGATTTTGACTCCAAAGACCCCCGTTTGCTTTTTGGAGGGGGTTCTTTTGAGGCTCATGTCCCGGCTTGTGAATTTCATGGAAAATTCCACTTTGACCTGAAAGAGAAATGCAACAGACAGGAAATCACAGATTACAAAATCACTAGGCAAAAACAAAGCTGAACGAATCTCTCTCTCTCTCTTCCCGACTCTACAGAAGAGGGGGAGGCTGTCCAGCAAGGGATGGGGAGACAGGAAGGGCGGCGACAAGCCCTCCACCTTGCTCACCCCATTCATCTCAATCACATCCAAGTGCCAGTTCTTGGTCTGCACTGTCTGGGGGTCCAGCTGCAAAAAAGGAAAAAAGAGAAAATGAAAATCCCTCTCAATCATATTGCAAAGAAGTAAGAAAAGGACAGGGACAGGGGGAGTAAAGGCTTGGTGTGTACGGGTGTGCACATTCATGGGTGTGAGCATACAGACGAGCACGTGCCTGTGAACGGAGCTGTGCATTTGCATCAACCCTTTGCGCATAGCCGCTCCGATGGCAGATCTAAAAAGGCAGACCCAACCATGACACAATGGAGACTTCCCAATTGTATCAATGGAGGTTATCTTCCAAAGTAGACTTGTAAAGCTTTCATTTAACCAGCTGCAGCTTAGTTCATCTGCAATATGCTTTGACGCTGCAGGAATCTAGGCTGGGGGTAGGGGGCACAGATTGCAGCACAGGACATAGAATCCAGTTGTCTGAGCATCACAGCTATATATGCACGTATGTATAAAAACAATAATAATCACAGCATTTGGAGCTGCAAACAACCCCTACCAATACAGGTCATCCTCGTTTAGCGACCACAATTGGGACCAGCAACTCAGTCGTTAAGTGAAGCGGTGGCTAAGTGGGGATTAAAAAGGGATGAAGAGGTTGGGGAAAAGATTAAGATGATAATTACTTGATAGGAAGAAGGGCGGAAGGCATAATTGTATGTTTTTGTTTTCATTTCCTTCCTTTTTCTCTTTTTCTTACTCTATCTTTTTTTGTTTTGTATAATTTTATTATATTGAAAAATTCTAATAAAATTTTATATATCTATATTAAAAAACAAAACAAAGCGGTTGCTAAGTGAAACCATGACCGTGCTTACGATCTGCCTTCTGCTTTCCTTTGCTTTACAGACCTGCGAAGGCTGTAAACACGAGGATTGGTTGTAAAGGGATCTTTTCATCACCATCGTAAGTGCAAACGGTCGCTAAACGAGGACCTGTATCTCAGAAGCCAGTAAGGTGCCAGAAATCATACACAATAATTGTATAATAGCAAAACCAAATAATGAATACAAATAGGGAACTCATTAATTGATTGAACATAAACGTCATGCACCCAATGTGGGGCAGCCTTTGCAGACAAGCTGGAAGCTGCAAGTAGTCCAGAATGCGACAAAGAAACTCCTGGCAGGACAATCTCATCATTGCAGGAAAACCCTGATCCTGAAGCTGATGCGCTAGTTACCGAAAAGCTTCCAGGTCCAATTCAAAACACCGGAAATGACTTAAAAAGCCTTATCCATCGTTACCACGTGTTCCATCAGGCACTGCCTTGCCAGACTTCCCATCTGGTGCAAACATTTCAGGGAGGCCCATGAAGAGCCCCCCTCGCCCCCGCAGCTCGCGAAAGCGTATGCCTTTTAATAAAGCTTGTGAGTCGGGAAAAGCGCTACCCGACTCTTTCTATGTTGCACGGCCATCCATCTCGGAGGAGGGTTGATTTACCCTTTCCATTGTTACTTCTAATTTGGACTGATTCCTATTGTGGCTTTTGAAGAACGACTGCAACCCAAACCGTGCAACGGAAGGAAATCTGCACTTGTGTGCGTTGGCGTGTGGGCTATGCTGCCCTTCAGATTCCAAAGCAACCTGGAGCGTTAGAGCACACCGCAGTCTCGCCAAGGACCTGTTTGCAACTAAAAGCATCTTTTCGCGGGACTAGATATTTGTGCTCTGCGGCAGCCGCACGATCGGGGGAAAGAGGCATCTGGTTTAAGGAGTTGCAGGCGGTGCAAAGCCCCTTTTCCCTTTGCATGCAAAGCAATGCACAGCCCTACCAATTCAACAATTAACTTAGAGCAGTGTTTCTCAACCTCGGCCACTTGAAGATGGGTGGACTTCAATTCCCAGAATTCCCCAGCCAGCAAGGGGGAATTCTGGGAATTGAAGTCCACCCATCTTCAAGTGGCTGAGGTTGAGAAACACTGATTTAGAGCCAAGTATAAATTCAGAGGAAGGATGGAAATATGCTGTGGCTACTTCATTGGATCTATTTTGGCCAGTCTGGGGGAAACACCTGGATGGGAAATGTGTTATGTTTACAACAGAAGGAAAAAATAGACATGTTATAAATAAACACACATGAATCTTGCTGGCTAGCAGCTATAAAACAACAGCTTGAGTCTGATTCCCCCCCCCACTCTCCCCCCTGCCCCCAAACCGTCCCACAGCAAATCCCAGAGACAAAATATCACCCCACATTTGCCCACTGGTCTTCCTAACACTGTTGTTCGAGGCGGGCAGGGCTTTCCGTGAGCGGATGCACCCCTGAAGGAGCATCTCGGGTTCAGGGTGGATGAGAGATTGTCTTCTGCCATCCCCCAACCCCTTTCAGCCTAGAGCCGGGCCCTTCGCTGGTTCTCCAAGCAGGTGCTTCAAAGACATCGCATCTTCTTGAGAAAGGCGGAAGAGAAACAGGCCCCTCCATTTTGGACCTGGCCAAAGAAAGGCTCCCATGGCTTGGGGATATTTCTGGATACAGCCTCTGAAAATAACACCAGAAAGGCCACATCTTCCACATGGCCCCGAGGACTATTTGCAGTCCCCTGGGAAAGTCTGTTTCCGGAAAACTGCTCCAGGCCTGCTTTGAACGTGGACCAGCTCGGCCTTTTCCAGCTGGTCCCCCGAGAGCTTCACTTGAAGACAAGAAGCTCCTGCGGGAGGAGAGAAGGAGCTGATCCAGCAACACCAGGAGACGTTTTGGTCTCCAACGTTGGGCGACTTGTCTCCAAACCAACAGGCTTGTTCTTTGCACTGTTTGTTCCTAAACCTAGACCATGCTGGCTGGGGAATTCTGGAAGTTGAAGTCCACCTATCTTAATGTTGCTGAGGTCGAGAAACACTGGCCTAAATAACTTTGAAACCCTCTGTCCTGGATCAATCATTTTTCTGGAGAGTTTTCTCTGTAATGGCAGGATTTTTGCACAGAAGATCTGACCTGTTTTCCACCTCCCACCGGAGGATTGTTTTTTTTGGGGGGGGGGTCCTAGAAATTTTTTTTAAAAAAGGGAAACTAAAGCACAGGAAGCTGGTGAAATTATGCACAAGATGCTTGTGGGTTGCAGAATCAGCCCATTCCACCCTGCCAGGCGTTCATGCAACTTCTCACCCAAGGCGCCTGGTATCTTAGAAGAAGCAGTACAAGCAGAGACTTCAGAAGGGAGGTGGCATTTCAGATGTCTGAAAGAAGGACATGTACGAGGATGCGCACATGTGCCAAAACTGTTCCTTCCCTCCCACACACAGTTTTGGAGGCTGGAGGGTGGGGAACAAAGACAAGGAGATGGCAAAGGGAGATGATCTCACGTGGAGGCTCAGAAGAAAAGCCAACCTCCCCCTTTAGAGCCATACATCTAGGGAAGGAGAGGGAAAAGAATTTGACAAGACAAATCCCACATTGGTTCCACTTTTACCTCATGGACTGAGCAGGTTACAATATCATTTGAAAAACCCACAGGACCTCTTTGATCAGATTCACAGAAGCTTAGAGTTGGAAAATCCTCCAGAAATCTTTGATCTGCCCTTGCCACCATCTCTGCAAGAATCCTGCAAATACCAAATTTATGAGAGATGATGATCGACTGATTGCATGCCATCAAGTCAGTGTCAACTCTTAGCAACCACCTAGATAGATTTTCTCCATGATGATCTATCCCCAACCTGGTCCTTCAGGTCTTCCAGTGGAGTCCCCATTGCTGCTGTAACTGGTTCCTGGTTGTCCCTCCTTGTTCCTGGTTGTCCTCTTCTCTTTCCTTCTACCTTCCCCAACATTAGAGCATTCCCCAGAGAGCTGGGTCTTCGCCTCATGTGTTCAAGTAGGATAACCCATAATTAAGTCCATCCTTCATGCTGCTGGTTGTCCTCTTCTTCTTTTCCCTTCCACCTTTCCCAGCACTTCTCAAGAAGCTGGGTCTTCACATCGTGTGTCCAAAGTAGGATCATTTGAGCCTGCTTGTTTGTGGCTCGAGTGAGAATTTTGGGTTGATTTGTTTGATGATCCATTGGTTTGTTTTCTTGGCTGTCCATGGTCTTCTCAGGAGTCTTCCCCAACCCCAAACTTCAAAAGCATCCATACCTTTCCTCTCCTTCTTCAAAGTCCAATCTTCACTTCCATAAAGTGTCATGGGGAAACCAAGACTTGCACGATTTTGATCTTTTGTAGTTATAGACACATCCCAGCATCTGAATATCTTCTCAAGATCTTCATGGCTGCTCTACTGAGTGCTAGTTGGTGGCATTTTTCTTGACCGCTTGCTCCTTTCCTGTTGATCATCAATTATCCATCCTGAAAAACTGCCCACCACTTCAGTGTCTTCACCGTCAATTCTAAGATGGACCCAACCTTTTCTTCAACACCTCCATCAAAGAGGAGCCCATCACGCACCCAAAGGGCAGTCCCAACACTGCTGCAGTTCATTTGCTATGTTCATGGGGGACATTTTACTCCAAATCAGCTTTTTGTTCTGTTTGCACATGAGTAGTCCTTGCCTTCTAGGGCAACAGACAACATGGTAGTTGCACCTTCTCTGGGGCCACCCTCCCCCAAATGATTGTGGGGGCAAAAGGGAAAGCCCCCCTCCAGAAAAGCAATCCTTCAGCCAAGACAGTCCCCTCCCCACCCTCGACTGTCTACGTTCAGCACTGTCAAAATATAAGAAAACGAAATGATCAGCGATTAAACAATGCTTGAGTTAATCAACTGCCTTTGAAATAACCGATCCCCAAATTAAATTCTTATCTTGTCAAGATCTTCTGCAACCTGGTGCCCTCCAAAAATATTGCACGTGCATTCCCCAAATTCCCACTTGTTTGTTATACTGGCATAACATAATATTTGCGAGGCTGTAGGCCACTGTTTCTCAATCTAGGCAACTTTAAGATGTGTGGACTTCAACTCCCAGAATTCCCCAGCCAGCCTTGCTGGCTGGGGAAATTTGGGGGTTGTAGTCCACACCTCTTAAAGTTGCCTAGATTGAGAAACAGTGGGCCACAGCCTCGCAAATAATAAGTTATGCCAGA